CGGTAGGGTACTAAAGAAAGATCCCAAAAAAGTTTATAGCAATATCTTGTGGTATTTCTTAAATAGGGATATTTTTGTCACTGAATCTCAGCGTCAAAAACATTGTCTGCTACAAAACCGGCAACCGCGCCACCACGCGGTGATGACGTCACAAGGTGTATGTCCATGACCACTTTACAATACTCTGCACTAGTTTTACATCAGCAATGGAAGTCTTCCTTTTAATTTCCAATACTTGGAAACGTGACAGGTTTCCTGGATGTGGCAAAATTATGCACAGCACTGTTTATTAATTTATAATGGTAATGGTCTCAAGACATTTCACATCAAATATTGTTAGTCCAAATATGGTCACTTTGTCCGTCATGAGAGATGTCATAACATTTGTCACATACGTTGTAAATGAACATTGTTCATTAGTGCACCGCTGCTCCACAGAAATGAATGTGCCTATCTGTTTTATCTTCCTTGAGGACTCTGACGAACACACTGGACATGCTGCAAAGAGCTGCATGAGAGAGGAGTGGAATACCAAGTATTTCATTTCAGAGGCTGGGTCCTTCCTGGAAGTAAATAAATGGGAATCCCGTATCACACCAGCAATAAAAATAGCCATAATAATTTACAAGATCATTACTGGTATTGTTACAATTAAACCTCTAATCCAAATTTTTTAATAAATATTGGAGCCTATGACCTCCAATCAAAATGTTAAATTTAACACTTTTAGTGTATTTCAAAGTTAGAATTCCATTATGAATCCGATAGTTGCATAAATGGATAATAGTTCTTTTTGGGCATAGTGGCATTTGTGTAAGCCTATTCATTCCATGTTGCATAACTTTCAATTTCAGTGACATTTCAAATTTTATGGAGCAAATGCAGTGTTACCTTAAAGCTCTACTAACATTTCTTCATTCTGACTGTCGGGAAAATTGCTCTCATCATCCGTGAATCCATCCGAACACTGAGGCTCATAGTCGCTGTCAATTTCTCTAATTTGCCCATCTTCATCATCTTCACCATCAGTGTAAATGCTTGACTCGGCATCATCAAAGGTCTCAAATGATCTGTCAATAACATCTGGGACACTGGGAATAGGCACAGGGAGCAATGCTGATAGGTTGCTCTGCTCGACTCTGGAAAGACTTTCACAAGAGCAGCTGCAAAATTATGTTTGGATGCCTGAAATGTATGAATAAAATATGTCAACCTCATTTTGAGCAAAATGCACTTTTTCGTGGAACAACTTTTATTTTCATTTACATTATTTTCAAACTATGAACATTACTTTACGCAGGTGGGAGATAACAGGTACTTTACTTAAGGCAAAGTTCTAATCGACACCAATACTTCAAACGTTCTGGGGATTTTTTCTCATCGGGAAAGCTGAACACACCAACTCCGTCCTTCAATTTCGAGGCACCGCAACCCCACGCTGTACAACGATTGTTGTGTGTGTGTGTGTGTGTACACATATGTGTATATATATATATGTGTGTGTGTGTGTGTGTGTGTGTGTGTGTGTGTGTGTGTGTGTGTGTGTGTGTGTGTGTGTGTGTGTGTGTGTGTGTGCATGTATGTATATGTGTGTAAGTATGTATGTTGTATATACAAAACACACACACACATATATGTGTGTGTGTGTGTGTTGCTACCTTGCTGTTCTTCCGCACTCTCTGTGTCCCCCAGTCCCTGGATAGAGAGGTCGATTTCCTCCGTCGATCTTGTCTCAATCTGGGCGACCCTTGGCATGTTCTCCAAGTCGCGTTTCTAGGGTGCGGCGTACCTTCTACCACGATTACTTTCAACTGCAGGCTGATCTTTCACTAGGTGAACAGTCTCCGTCGCAACCTGGTCCACACCAGTCCTCCCTCTACCTCGAAGGTGGGCACCTCTGCTGCCCTTTGTGCCTCCTGCGATAAGCAGTACTTCGGCGAGACTGGCGCCAGTCTCACTAAGCGTTTGTCTCAACAAAAATACGCTGTATACAGGGGACACAACAACAACACCCTCTTCTGCCATCAGTGGAACGCTGGCCATAAGATGCGTTGGTCAACTGTGCGTATCGTCTTCCCTTCCGCTGATGTCCACACCTAATTTCAACTTAATTTCAACTGCCGATAGTCTCATCGCTTCCCACATCCTCCGCCATCCCCCTTAAGCCGGCCACCCTTCGCATAGACCGCTTGATCCTCCGACCTGACCTGAACTCCCCTCGCTTCCGTTCACCTCCCCGTGTTCACCGTGTTGCCTCTCCTTTCCCTCTTTTCCACTCCCTCCTCGCCCCTTCCTCTCCAGACCTGGAAATGAAATCCAGGAGGATTTTGAAACTGTTGTCTCATTTTCAATATATCTAGTTTGTGTCATGTAGCCATTTCTACCATAGTGTCAACACGGTAGTGTTTTTTACCATTCACACACACACACACACACACACACACACATATATATATATATATATAAATATATATATATATATTTATATATATATATATATATATATATATATATATATATATATTATCAGTATTGTTATTATTATTATTACTATTATTTTTTTTTTATTATTATTATTATTATTATTAGGATAATAGTAACAACAATAATAATAATGATAAAAATCATTACAATAATAACAATAATAACAGTATGTAGTTTTAACACAATACTGCAATCAACTATCTTCGTAAAGTCCATAACGATGAAAATGTTTATTATACTACCAGCATTAACTTTGAGATGTGGCACGACGCAAGTCATAGATACCCTCGCTAAGAGAGGAACAGGAAACCGCGCAGAAAGTCAACTTTTTAAGAAAGAAGCTACATTGAGGGTTTTTCTTTCAGAGACGGGCGATGTTTAGCATAAAAAGGAAAACCGTACACTTTGGCCTTTGTTAAGTAACAGAAAATGTCTCACCTATTACGTTCCATGTCTGATTGATGTAAATATTCTAAGAAATAAAACATTCTCTTGACAAGGGAAATTCTGAAATGCTAGAACGAAGAAGCTGCAAATTATTATAGGTTCTTTGGGAAATGTGAACAGCCTGGAAAGCTAGACAGTCACTTGGGAGAGGATTGCTGCGCGTACACCGTCTTCTCGGAACTGCACGCTGTCCGAGAATTCTTGACATAAAGAAAATAATGGATGATGAAATTGCTGAAGATAATGACAATGATTATAAAAATAATGGTAATAATAATTATTATAATAATAACAACAACGTTATTTACGTTTGCCAATAAATCAAAAGTGTCATCTAAGTTTTTTTTATATGATGTTCGATGCAGAATTATCTGAAGATTTGTGAAAAATTGCATTGTAGTTTTAAAGACTGTTCTTGCGTGCGTGGAACACTTCCCCACCTGTCCTAAAGCTTCGGCCGAATCTTAGACAAAAACTGCCTGTCGGAGACTGATGAGGCCAGTTCTGATCTATTTTCAACCATTAATTGATCCGTTTTCTACACATTTATAGCAAGTCTCAGCTCGAAAATACAAATGGCGCCGCGCGGCTCCACAGCTGACGCAATTACAACAAATCTAGGGTTGCCCAAATTTTAGTTGAATATATAAAATGTGTAATATTATTGTCATTACAGAAGTATGATTTATTGCAGTATGTAGTTTTAACACAATACTGCAATCAATTACCTTCGTAAAGTCCATAACGATGAAAATGTTTATTATACTACCAGCATTAACTTTGAGATGTGGTACGACGCAAGTCATAGATACCCTCGCTAAGAGAGGAACAGGAAACCGCGCAGAAAGTCAACTTTTTAAGAAAGAAGCTGCATTGAGGGTTTTTCTTTCAGAGACGGGCGATGTTTAGCATAAAAAGGAAAACCGTACACTTTGGCCTTTGTTAAGTAACAGAAAATGTCTCACCTATTACGTTCCATGTCTGATTGATGTAAATATTCTAAGAAATAAAACATTCTCTTGACAAGGGAAATTCTGAAATGCTAGAACGAAGAAGCTGCAAATTATTATAGGTTCTTTGGGAAATGTGAACAGCCTGGAAAGCTAGACAGTCACTTGGGAGAGGATTGCTGCGCGTACACCGTCTTCTCGGAACTGCACGCTGTCCGAGAATTCTCGACATAAAGAAAATGACGACTGCTCGAGGGACTGCACTGGGAAAAGAACCAGAAACAAGCTATAACATCAGTACTATGTGTCAACATCATAATTTGAGGAAGAATAAAAACGATTTTGATTTTGATAATGACGCTGATAATAATACTGAAGTTGATTATTGTTTTAATAATGATTGTAATGATAATAGTAACAATAATATAATCATAATAATAACAATGATAATAATAATAATAATAACAGTAAAGGTAACGATAGTGATAAAGACAATATCAAGAACAGCAACAATAAGGGAAGGAGAGAATGTGATCATTGACCAAATATCTATGTTACCGGTATATGTATGATTTCGCCTCACTTTCTCTAGTGAAAAGGTGATTCTTAATCATGAAATACTATAAATATGTTGTCATATAATTTTCAAAACGGAACACGTTTCAGAAACTACAGCAAATCTTTAGACATGAAAGCAGACTGAACATGACATAAATGACACCAAACGAAAATCGTCCCGGAGACACGCGTTTGACGAACGTGTTTCCTTTTTCGTTCTGAAGTGATAACACAGGCAACGACTCAGGGATCACCGGAGACGCAAGTTCGGAGCAGTGTGCGACATGCTCCGCGGAAGGAAGGTAGACTGCTGAGTCTATCTATCGTCCCTTTTCAGTTAGCGAAAGATCACTTTGGATTGACTGCAACCGTTCTTGCGAAAATATGTTTTGCTTATATTATGACTGTATTCATTCCTATTTTTTCTATTTAAGTCATGCTATTGTTTTTCCTTCTTCCATTCACCTCAATCAATATTACTTTTGTAAATAAGAATAAGGCTGTAAAACGATATTTGTAACATATCTGTTATCTGTAAATCATTCGAGTGTACCTATTTAC